CATCACATATCTCTGGCATGGACCAGCCTCACACTCCCTCCATCCCCAGATGGCCTCTGGGGTGGGCAGAGTGTGGGAAATGGAGACATGGGGAGCCTGGTGGGCCTGGAGGGGACCCTGGGGTCTGAGCAGAGACTGCCTGGAATGGCGGGCCTGCTGCCTTGGCCCAGCCTTAGGTAGAGGACGCTGGTTGGCTCATATCCCTAGGGGAATAAGCAATGGGCCTCCCTCCACTTTCTTGGTGAGATCACTGGAATCACAAGCACTCATAAGGTCACAGGAACTCTTTCTCAGTGAAACCACTAGTGTTGGAAAGCTTTGCAGTCCTCAGTACCGCTGGAGGAGTCGTATTAGAATGTGTTGGGAAATCTAACTGGAGGCCTTAGGTGGGTTTCCCCAGGTAGCTCCCATCTCGTGTTCTGGATATGTAACTAAACTAGGGCCTCCCAGGCCTGTGGGACAGAAGTGTTGCAAGGTAGTGGATTTCCATAGTAACCATAGTGGCTCTAGCTGAGTTTCAGTTGGCTCTGCTGATGGTGAAGTTTCTGGTCAATACAAACAGAGGCCAGAAACCAGACTCATGGTTAGCCTTCCTGGGAACGGGGTCAGAGGAGACAGCCTTTAAGGTCCCTTGTAGTTCCAAGATCCTATGATTTCACCAGCCCATGATTAGCCCCTCACCATCATGAGTTTGTATAAAGCAGCGGCTCTCAACTTGGTATCGCACTGGAACTGCCTGGAGGGCTTTAGAAACATCTGCTGCTTTCGTCCCACCTCCAGAGATTCTGGTTTAGCTGGTCTTGGGTATGACCTGGACATCAGGCTTTTTGCCATCTTCCCACGTGATTCTAATGCGTGGCCAAGGTTGAGAACTACTGATAAAAAGGCACATAACATAATATGATAATAATAGTTAATAATAATTCATTAGTTAATAATAATAATTAATCATAATTCATGTGCCAGGCACTGTGCAAAGCACATTATATACATTGCATTCTTGATAATTTCCATTCTCCAGATGAAGAAGAAACATGTTCAGAAAGGGTAAGTGACTTTCCAAGGCCAGAGAGCAGTAAGAACTGCCATGCTACTCCAGGGCCGTGAGAGTTCAAAGCCCTGGTCAGTCACTACAGTAATTGCCACTTTTGAGGCAATGTGCAGCCAAAGATGGGGACATGTCTGGAGCAGACTCCTGAGGGACCCCTGATACCCCACTCAGCCCGCAGCACCTTGTCTGGTTGGATGAGACCACTGGCAGCCCAGTGGGGTTGGCTACTTCCTGAGGCAGGCTCAGGGAGGCCCTGTGGAACCCTCCTTTTCATTTGGAAGAGCTGGAACCTGAGACCTTGGGCTCAGAGTTGTTGAATTGTGTGTTTAGCTTCCCAGCTCTCATAATGAATGGCAGTCTTTCAACTTGGTACAGAGAATCAGGTAAGATTTTACTCCCAGGGGAGAGGGGAGTGGTTGGAAATCACATTTTATTCACCAGGTGTTTTTGGTTTATAGTAGACTCAGGAAAAAAGTCAGGGGCCATCCATAAAATAGGGCCAGATCCTTTTCACTTGCAGTTTCATTGAAATTTAGTGAAAGGCAAACCCAGCAGGTACCTGTTTTACTGGCAGTAAAAGAACACTGGGCAACAATTATTTAAAATGAGTCAGAGCTGTTTAAATCTAAAACTTAGGGGCATGTGTATGTTTTAAAAGAAAGTTTACAAGGCTTGGAGATTTGGACTGAACTGTTTTTGATGAAAATGACATGGAAAATATTTTCCTTTCTTATTTTAAACCTTCTTCTTTGCTGTTTGTTTCCTAAATTTAGCAGGAAGCAATAAGCAAAAAAATAAGCTGGAAAAAAAAAAACTGAAACAAGTCAGGGAAGTTTCAAGGTCTAATTGAAATGATAGACTGAAAATAAAGCTGTCCAAGGTGAGATAGTAATTCTTCCCATTTTATAGAAAAAAATCATTATTTCAACTTAAACCATTTCAGATGTGATTGACCTACTGGACACGGAAGTGCTGGATTTGGCACTCCCTAAAAGTACAAAGACTGGGGAGGGAGGCAACTGTCTAAACATCAGCCAAGAACTCTCAGCGGGAGGCTGGAAGAATGTGGGAGGCTCATCAGCCTGTCACTCACCATCTCCCCAACCTTCCTTCCTCACCATGGCAACACCAGGGCTTCTGGAGCCATGGTCCAGATGGAACCCCCAGTCTCAAAGCCTGAACACAGCCCTGCCTGCTGGGGAAGGCTGGGAATGCCCCACCCAACTCTGGACTTAAGCCACTGGCCAAATGCCAAAGACGGGCCTGATATTTTGGAATGGAACGTTGCCACCAATGACTGTGATTGTTGTCAGTGACTCACTTGTTGAGATTTGGGTTTGATTTTGCTTTTTACTTGTGGAGAATGATTTTCTATTTATTGAAATAACTGAAGGACTGATATCTCTGAACTTTTGGTCGCTAGAGAAGAACATCCAACTCAAATTAGTTTAAAAAAAAAAAATATGTAGGTAGGTAGGTAGATAGATACTTTACATCTCCTGGTTCTGATTATTTCTTCTTGGTTAATTTTTCAGACAAGGTTTCTCCATGTGATGGACAAGAAGATTCTCATTTTGCACGCTTGGCAGTGCTGGCAAAAAAAAAGTTCATTGTATAGAAAAGTCTCAGGGAAGATTCTGATTGGCCCAGATCAAATCAAATGACCACTCCTGAACCAATCACTGTGTCTAGAGGTGCAGCAATAAGATTGGCCTAGCCAGGGTCTTGTGCTCACCCTTGTGGTGGTGCTTGGGGTGTTGGTGGGGCAGGGGACAGCAAATGACAGTCCTTCCAGGAGCCTATGAATGAGGAAGAAGATCTCTAAGACGGGCAAAAACTACCCTATGTCAGCTTGGCCCACCTCAGTTTCAAGTGTTGTGTTTGGCCAAGGGTGCAGGTGGGGAAAGGAGGAAGGAGAGGCTTGAGATCACAAATGTATTCAGTAGCTATTGTTTTTGAGTGCCTACAATCACCAAGGTTCTGCTCTGGGCTTTGGGATTCAGCACTGGACAAAACAGAAAACCCCTGCCCTGGTGAAGCTTGTAATCTTATCAGGAGAAGTAGCCAAAAACCTAAAATAAATAAGTCAAGCACATACAGACTGTGAGATTGCGATGAGTGCCATAGGAGAAGTAAAACAGTGCAAGAGGGCAGGGAATGTGAGGGTCGGGTTGGGATCACAGAGTTACATATGGTGGTGGGGGAAGGCTCACAGAGGAGGCGAGGTTTGAGCAGGGCTCTGCAGGAGGTGAAGGAGAAAGCCACACAGAAGAGCCTTTCACAGAAAGAAAGTGTGGCTGGAGCAGAGCACATAAGGGGCAATAGTGAAAGCAAGCTCAGCAAGGTGACACCTGCCCAGAGAGTGCCTCAGGCCATTGTGAGCTTGGGGGCTCATGGTCTGTGAGACAGCGGGTGGGGGTGGGGGTCGGGGGGGCACTGAAGGTCACGTGATGTATCACAGGGTCCCATTTGTTTGCTGTTGTTTTCTCTCCAGTTGATTATAGGTCCTTTGAGAGCAGGGACAATATTTAGGTATTCATTCATTTACTCATCTATTCCTTGATGCAGCAAACACCTATTGAGTACCTACTATGTGCCAGGTGCGGGGAGCCCCGTGAGAAAGAGCTCACCGTCTAGTGGAAAAGAAAGAGAAGTAAAGCACAGATGTCAGTGTCATGTGACATGTGCCCCTGCCTGACATAAGAATTCCACCAACAACCCAAAATACTCTCACCACCCCCACCAGAGAGGGCAGCCAAGCCAGTCCCATCCAGTGGCTCCAAGCCCAGGATCTCCAGTCTCTTGAACTGGTCCAGATATAGCTCCTCATGGTCCTGCAGCCAAGTGCCAAATGATGCATTTACTCCCTCGCCAATACGCGCTTAGTGAGCAATGTGGATGGAATGCAGGCTAGCAGCAGCACAGTTCCCCTTTAGAAGAGGGGAGGAGGGAAACAGCATCCACTGGTCACATGACATCTGCAGACTCCTGCTCCAGTGGGAGTCGGAGTTGGGGGAGGTTCTGTGGTCAGTTCCCCAGCTGCCCCCGCTCTGAGCTTGGGATTGGAGGTTTCTTCTTCCTGATCCGACATGGCCAAGCCTGGCATGGGATGGGGCATGAAAGGGACCAGATGCTTGGATTCCTGTTCTAGGGGTCATGTTGCCTTTTGTTTATTTCCACATTCCCAGCCTTTTACCCAGTGTATGTACACAGTAGGTTTTCAGTGTTTGCTGAGTTAATACCAGTGGTGCTAAGTACACTGCCTATGAATACACAGGGCAGACGTTGAATCAGGCTATGGAGCATGGGAGGGCATCAAGGATGACTTGGTGAATTCATGACTTGGGTGGAACTGCCCATCTCTGCAACAGGGAATGCAGGAGAAGCAGCAACTTTGGGATAAGTGGGGAATTTGTTTTGAGATGCCAAGTTAGGGGCACCCATGGGACATTCAAAGACCTGAAGTCTCAAGATCAAAGAATGGGACTAAAGGCAAAAGGAGGAGTTCAAGAGCTGGGAGGAAGTGATTACGGTCTGGGCATGGGAACTGGGGTTACATATTAGAAGTAGAACAGCTCTGGGTGGTGACCCGGGTGAGGCCGGAGAGAGCTGAGGAGAGAGGAAATGAAAGCCCTTCAGAGGTCATGGAATTGCCAGGAGCCACAACCTACCCTTCCTCAGGATCCCCTCCACTTCACTGGCTCAGGGCCACTGACATTTCAGCTCCAACCCCAAGGGACAGCAGGGTCGTCCTGAAAGGAGAGCTAAGGCCTCTGGGCCTACTGTTTCCATGATACCTGTCTCACAAGCTGTCTCACAGATGAAGAGTCAAACCCCAAACCCTGATGCCACCCGGAGCGGGGTTGGACCACCCAGAGAGTATGGCTTGTGGAAGGGAACAGCAGACTTTTCCAATAGCATCTTTGAGGATGTGTAACTCAATTTCAAGGGTTTGGGAGGAACTCTCTAGAGAAGCCTGGGCCTGAGCAGACATTCTTCCGCAACCGTCTCCATGGCCCTGAGGAAGCCTTGAATGAGGTGGGGAAGGCAGCAGGCTGGGGCAGGGGGAACCATCTCAGAAACCTTACTTCTGCTTCCTGGCACATAGGAAGTGCTCGGTGGAGCTTTGTTGAATGAATGCATTAATGAATGGATGAGTGAATGCAAGCATTCATAAACAAATGAATGCATGTTTAGGTGATTCAGAAGGGTGCCCCAGTGTCTGGTAGATGAGTGACTGTCAGTGTTCACTGGGCAATGAATGAGTGTGGGATGAGGACTCAGAGCTTTCCTGAGCCCACAGAGCGGCCGTTAGTCCTAAATAAACAAACATGGCTATTTCCCACCGCTGACCTGGAGGATAATGAAGTGCACACTCTCCCTTTGGGAGCCTCAGCAAATCATCCCTCTGCAGTTTTTCTTTAACTATAGCTCCTTTGCCATCAACTGGAGGCTCCATTCCATTTCCCTGACCCAGAGCGAAGAGGGCCTCCATTGCTCTCCCAGGTGGGAAGGACACAAAGAATCACTCTCCCTTTCACTCTCACTTTCAGAGTTGGATGACTTGGATCCTTCTGGCGATCCTCAAGCCAAAACAATCCTTTTCTCCCTCCTTCCTTCCTTCCATCCTTCCGTCTTTCCTGAAATGGATTTTGAGTTCACCCGGGGCTCTGCCACATCTGTTCAGTCTCTGGCGTGGCACCACCTCAACATTCCAGCACAGCCGCCACAGCCGTGTTACCATCATGAGCATCTTTGTCTAGCACGGGGTGGGCCCAGCAGACACGAGGACATCTCCCTCACTGTTCTGCCCTCAGGGAGGCTCCAACTGGCTCCTAGGACAGGAGGCAACCTGAGAAGGTAGCATCGCTACAGAGTGGCAGCAGTTCCAGAGATCAGAGCTCCCTGGACCCTGGGCATGCCTGTCCAGTGAGGTTGGGGGCTAGGCTCTCAGGGGAACGTAGAGACCCTGAGCTGCTGGTGATAGTCCCAGTGTCATACCACACAGCGGTCCACTCCCCACAGGTCCAGCTGCCTTGCTGGGAGCATCCCTCTAGGACTAGCCTGTGATAGCATCCTCAGGCAAGAGTTTTGTGAGTGGGCAATTCTCACCCTCCTTTCTGCTTCCTCTGGGGCTACAGCTTCAGCCCAGGGCTGATGGTTGGGTGGAAAGTTGGAGTTGGGATGTACCCCCAGTTGGTGATATTTCATGGCACTCTGGAGAATATCTAGCCAGCATTTTGGTTCAAGTAATGAGATGTCAGGTGTGTGCATCCATCCGTGCATTTCAGATGTGTCCTTCCCCAGTGTCTGTTGATGGGGACTCTGGGAGCACAGGGTAGGGTGTGGCTGTGAAGGAAGGGGATGGGCGATGGCATCTACCATCCATCACTGCCCAGTACTTAGTGCCTGGGGACCAGTGGATCTTACAGGGGGCCATTTCAGGAGCAAGCAAAAATCCCAGAGAAGATGCACCACTGTCTGAGCACTTGAGTTCTGGTAGCTCTGGCTTCAGCCTGCAGGGGTTTGCTGTCCTTACAGGTAGTTCTTTCTGTAGCAGCTTGTCCAAGCCCTGGTGTTTTACTGATTGGTGCCTCATATAATGCCTAGCCCAAGGCTAGGCCCAGGTTTCTCCCTAGGAGACTGTCAATCTGCAGGTGCTTAGAAGGGTCCATTCTGGTTTGTAGTCCCCTCAGGACACCTTGACTTAGAGGTCTAGTGCACTCCAGGACTCACCCTCCCCGTATCCTGCCAAGAGCATTGGTTAAGAGCATGGGCTTTGGAGTCAGAATAACCAGTTTAAATCCAGACCTTGTGACTTACTAGCTCTGACCCTGGATGCTTTTTAAGAAGCCTCTTGATGACTGGGTGCAGTGGTGCATGCCTGTAATCCCAGCACTTTGGGAGGCCGAGGCGGGCGGATCACTTGAGGTCAGGAGTTCAAGGCCAACCTAGCCAACACCACGAAACTCCATCTCTACCAAAATTATGAAAATTAGCTAGGCGTGGTGGTGCGCACATGTAATCTCAGCTACTCAGGAGCTGAGACAGAAGAATCGCTTGAACCTGGGAGGCGGAGGTTGCAGTGAGCCAAGATTTGCACTCCAGCCTGGGTGACAGAATGAGACCCTGTGTCAAAAAAAAAAAAAAAAAAAGAAAGAAAAGAAAAAAAGCCTCTTGAGCCTCAGTTTTCTCACCTGTACAATGGGGGAGATAATGGTCTCCTCCTCATAGAGTTGGCGTAAGGCACAAATGAGGCCACGCGGCTGGCTCCCGCCTGGTGTGTGCTGAGTGCTCGCCATACGGTGGGGTCCTCCTGCCTGTGGTCCTCTCTGACGCTGACCTTCATCTCAGGTGACAGGAACTCCCTCGAAAGGCTTTGATGAGAAGGCCTACCTGTCGGCCAAGCAGCTGAAGGCCGGAGAGGACCCCTACAGGCAGCACGCCTTCAACCAGCTGGAGAGTGACAAGTTGAGCCCGGACCGGCCCATCCGGGACACCCGCCATTACAGGTACGGCCTCCATCGTGTCGGTGGAGGAAGAAAGTCTGAGAAAAGGCCAACATTGTTTAGTTTGCCTTATTTTACATGTATCTAAGAAATCAGGATGATTTCCTCAGACTGTGTCCAGTGATTTAGACATTCAAAAACCCTCACCCTCTGTTGTTTTTTTATCTGACCTACTGAGGCCCTGCCAAGACCAAGGAAACTGCTCAGCTGAGGCCAAGGAGGCCCCGAGGCACTTCAGTCTGGCGTCCCAGCAAAAGTGACCTGGGAGGGGACCAAAGGAGGTCCGTGGGGGTGGGTGAGCCAGGCGCTCTTGGGGCCTTACTGGTGGTGCCTAAAGTGGAGAGAGTCACAGCCCTGCCCATTGCAAACAGTGGGGTGCCATGCCCCACCCCATTGACCTACCTTTCCTCCTGCACCACAGCCCCACCTCCTCAGCAACTCCCAGAAATGCTTCCCAGTCTTGTTCTTAGTTCTCCCCGTGTAGTGAGGTGGGAGAGGCCTTAGACCGGGACCAAGGAAGCCTCCACTCTCATCCCAGCTCAGTGTGAGTGACCGGCCTTAAGCAAGGCATTAGCCCCTCTCCAGGTTTAGGCCTTTGTGTGTTCTGTCTAGAGTATGAAAGCCACCATCTGCAGTCTTTCCTCTTCCTGCTGTCACCTGCAGGAACAGTCTGAGTTCCTGATGCTGAAGCACCACCCTCCCCTCCCCGTGACCTGGCCTTACCCACCTTTCCCCCAGCACTTGATGGTCCAGCAGTCACAGACTCCTCCCTCCTTCCTTCCTTGCTTTCACATGTGCTGTTTCCTCTGCCCAAACGCACGTCCTCCGCCCCACCTACCCTTTGAGCTACTTGGCTCACTTCAAGGACACTTGGCTCACTGTCCTCCCTTCCATGGAAGGCTCCTTCCCAACCCCGGCTAGGTTGGGCCCCTCTTCTGCGCTCTATGCAGACATCTCACAGAATGACCAGGGCGCTGTTGGAGCTGACCCACCGCTGTGCCTGCAGCCATGTGCTCAGAGCTAGGCTGGGCCTCCATCTGGTCCTGGTTTGAGGGTAGGAACAATGACTTGGATCAAGGTTGCTTTTAATTCTGAAGCAGCTACTCCACAGCACAAAGGGTATAGGTGAGGTAAGGGTACGAGAGGGCCTGGTTCTAGCACTTTCCTTGTCACTCACAGACGCATGCCTGAAGTCCAGGGTGCTTGGTAGCCCGTGCAAGGTGAGATGAACACAGGGCTGGAGGAGCCCCAGAAGCTCAGCCTTGCTGTCCTGTAACACCAGCACTGTCAGCCTCCAGAAACCACTCATGCAGCCAAGTGAGGCAGTACTCCTGGTATGCGGCAAGGCCAACACCAGGTCTGCTGGCCGTTTCTGGCCCTCAGAAGTTCTTTCTCACCTAGTCGTGGGCAGTGTCCCCTCCTGTCTGCCTGTGCCACAGAAGAGGTTACGTCCACGTAGCTCCACTTGGAGGCCTTTCGTGGGCAGCCCTAGCCATGGCCGACCTAGTCCCAGGGTCTGGAGGATCTGCTGGCCCCGATCTGTAAATTGAGGGCTTGTCCTGGGTAATCTCTGTTCACGCTTTAGCTTACCTGACTCTGAACCTTCTCAGGTGCTCACTGAGAAACTTAAAGGGGGAATTGCCCTGGGGACTACACAGATTTTTAAATGAGACACTTTAAATCCAAGGTAGTGGTGGGTGGATGAGGTCCGTATGCTGCTGCCGGGCCCTCTCAGAAAACTGAGGTGGGCTGGGCACGGTGGCTCACGTCTGTAATCCCAGCAATTTGGGAGGCCGAGGCGGGCGGATCATTTGAGGTCAGGAGTTCAAGACCAGCCTGGCTATCATAGTGAAACCCCATCTCTACTAAAAATACAAAAATTAGCCGAGCGTGGTTGTGGGCACCTGTAATCTCAGCTACTCAGGAGGCTGAGGCAGGAGAATCTCTCGAACCCAGGAGGCAGAGGTTGCAGTGAGCCAAGATCACAGTACCACACTCTAGCCTGGGTGCCACAGTAAGACTCCGTCTCAAAAAAGGAAAAAAAAAAAAAAAGAAAGCTGAGGTGGCTCACGGTGGGGGTGTGTGTGTGTGTGTGCATGTGTGTGCACATGTGTAGGGAAGCAAAGGATGTGCTGGCTTTGGTGGGCAGGCCTCCCACCATGATGGGGCCAGTTCACTGGTAGGAGCTGCTCTTCCTTGCAGCCCTGCAGGCTGTAGTGTCTGCTGGACTCCAAATTGTCAGGTTCATTTCTGGTCCATTCCTCAATCTAGGGAGCCCCCTCCAGGGAAGCAAAGGGACATAAACCACATAAGACAGCCCAAGGAGGATCACAGAGAAAACCCCACCAGCTCCAAACTCAAAACTCAGGGCTGGGACAAACCCCTTTAGAGACTCCTGGCTCCTGGGAGCCAGATAAACCCCCATCCTCAGGGACATCAATACATCAATCCCAGAGGCATACATGGTGGAAAGGGTTGGAGGGGGCCAGTGGGGAGGGGAGGTCACGTTCACCCTTCAGATGGGGTGTGGGTGGGTTTGCCCCCTCCAGGGAGACGTCGCTGTCCCGATTCCCTCCTTCCTGGGCACCGGATGGTTGGGGGATCAGGACAGAACGACTGGGGCCCTGGAGGTTAGCACTGGGAGGGTACACACTTAGGAGGTATCTGCTGCTCCCAGCACACCCCAGCTCAGCCAGCCAAGCTCACTCCCACCCCCACAATTCGTAGGCCCTTGAGCAGCATGGTTTCTCAAGGGGCAGAAGGCAAATTTCCCTCAGCCACCACTACCCCACACCCCCTCTCCAGGAGAATTATTGCACAGCCTCTCAAGATTTCCCCCAGGGGGGTCCCAGGCTAGTGGGACTCCCGCCTGTCTGACCCGGTCTGCTCTGCAGGGCAGGAAACGGGCCTGGGAATTCGGGCTGTAAGCTGCTGTCAGTAGAATGAATGCCATAATGAAAAAATGGTCACTGCTGGAATAGTCAGAGAGCAATTGTAATAAAGAAGATTGCTATGAAAACCAGCAATGGAGGCCGCCTTCCAGCGCCCCAGGAGCACAAATAAATGCATGCACAGAAACAACAGGGATGAAGTCTGGCAGGAATGAATTGTTTTCACTCCCTTTCTAGAGGAGAGGGAGCCAGTAGGCCAGAAAATGTGGTGTATATGGATGGCTGGGGAGGGAGGGGGTGGCGGGATAGGGGAGGTGGTGGTGTCTTATCAGAGGCTTGTTTCTTCCAGGGGACCCAGGACCCCCGGAGGAGCGAAACTGCTCCCCAGTCCATTGTCTGCAGCAGGGCTGTCAGTATTGGGCAGTGAGAGGGAGGAATTCCCTGGCAGCCAGGGTAGGGGTGATTCCTCTGCAGATGCTACCAAATGTCCTGAGGTGGGAGGAGAGAAGGAAGAAGCTCCAGGGTATCGGGACAAACAAAGAGGTGGTTTTCCCTTTCGCATATCCCCCCCATCATAGGACAGAGAGTTCTGTCTGTGTGGTCAGGGCTATATCCTGGGGCCTGGTGCTGTACCCTCTGGGGGCTCTGGATCCCTGGTAAAGAGCCCTCAGGCTTTGGAAGGTCTCCCAACCTGCTGCTTCCCTTCCAGGACCCCAGGATGGGTGGCATCTGGGCTCTGGGCCAGTGTGGGATACAGCATGGGGGTAGAAGGGCGAGGCCTCTGGCCTGGCTTTGGGTGTGCCTTCTCTGCCTCGCAGAAGTATTCTCGGGTGCAATAAACTGGACAAAGAAAAACCTTGACCTGCCCTGAGGATGCCCTCATGGCTGGCTCTGACCTCTGCTCCCTGCTCAGCTGCCCGTCTGTGTCCTACTCCTCGGACCTGCCGGCCACCAGCGTCATCATCACCTTCCACAATGAGGCCCGCTCCACCCTGCTGCGCACGGTGAAGAGGTAAGTCCAGCCACAGGACTGTCATCTCAGTGGTGCTGGCAGGGGACGATATTGGGATCGGGCGCTGTGGCCAGACAGCATGAAGCTCAGCAGGTGCTGGAGGCTGAGTCCTGTACTTCTGAGAAGGTGAAACTGGTGAATCAGGGCCAGGAAGACCCCAGAAGTCCAACTGTTAGAGGAATGTGATAGTCAAACACCAGGTCAGGTGTCCAGGACAAGGACAGAAATGTAGGTGTCAGGAGCTGAGGGAGGCCGGGCTAGACAGGAGACCTCAGGAGGGTGATGGAAGCCCAGCAGTGTCTGTTGGTGTCACAGAGCGGCAGATTGGAGGTGGATTCTTCCTGCTAAGCCTGGGCTTGTGGTCAAGTTGAACTCCCATCTCCCCTTTTCCTTAATGAGCTTAGACAAGAATGGGATTCAGGTAGGAGCACCCAGGGTGCTGGCCCTGGAGCTGGGCGGCTGGGGAGTCCCACGGCCCAGGGAGGGGTAAAAATGGGAGGTGGTTCCTAAATCCAGGCTCTTTCTGTTTCCACTGCTACTCTAGTGTCCTGAACCGAACTCCTGCCAACTTGATCCAGGAGATCATTTTAGTGGATGACTTCAGTTCAGATCGTGAGTAGTCACCTTCCTTTTTGCAGCCCTGCATTCCACCCTCGTCTCCGTTTCCCCAGAACACCAAGGCAAGGTTGGTGTTGTCCTGACCATCACAGACACCTTTCTGTCCCCGGCAGGGATCCTGTCTTTTCTAGGACCCTTCCCTGGTCCTGTTTCCTGGTGTCAAAGGAGGGGAAAGAAGGGTGGGTGTTGCTTTGGATGGGACACTTGTGAGATGATATTTTTTTTTTAAAGTAAAGAAACTCAACAGCATCCTTCATTATTACAACTGCCAAATGCAGATGCTAGCTGGGCTGGTAACCACCTCCAAACGTGCTCTCTGGTGCTCCCTGAGGTGGAGTGGAGTACTGCCGTAGGTACAGGCACTCTTCAATCTGGCCTGAGAGTGGGGCAGGGCAACCCTTCGGCCAGTAATGATGACCATACCCCTTCCCCATTCCCATCCCCAGTCCTTTCCTGGGCTTAGTATGGGGCAATTTTCATGGCAGCCAAACCACTAGTGGCCTGATGCCCATGTCTAAATGAGCTTGCCTTCCTCTCTACGTCCTCAGCGGAAGACTGTCTACTCCTGACCAGGATCCCCAAGGTCAAGTGCCTGCGCAATGACCGGCGAGAAGGTGAGTCCTTGCACCCTGGTTCCTGCCGAGGGCCCATCTTGGTGTCATCCTCTGCACCTCCACACTCTCTCTTGGTGCTGTGGCACACCAAGCCACCAGGGCCCTGCTGCATTCCTGATGGCTGGGACCAGGCTCTGCAGAAGACTCTCCTGCTTCCCAGATCAGCCCCATCAAGGCACAACTGGAGGCAAGTTGCTCCATCTCTGACTGCCTTAGCTGTCTCTCCTGAGAAATGGGATAAGATAGTCCCTTTCAGCCTTGCAAGGTGATTGTAAGGATTACATGAGACTGGCTGTGTGGAAAGGCTTTGAGAAAAATTCAGAAAAATCCAGAAGCATAAAGCAGATGTGACCTCACTTCCAATCCAGACGTGTTTTGGAGTAGCAACTATAGCATGGCACTCTAGGGGACACGAAGGAAATACAAAGTGTGGTCCCTGCCCTCGGAGGGCTACTACATAGCCAAGGGGTCAGAATCCACTGCAGCCACAGGTTGGTTGTGGTTGTGTATGAATAGCATGGAGATCGGAGGAGAGCTGGAGTGAGCAGTTAAGGCTTCCGTGGAGGAATGGGCCTCAACGGGGTGTGGGGGCGTCATGAGACAGGTAAAAGGTAGCAAGGGAGGGCATGCCGGCTTGTGCACTCTGCAAGCAAAGGCATCAGTCAGGGGTATGGGCATGTGCAATACTAACAGCCCCTTTCTTGAGGGCTCCTCCCCTGCGGGCATCCGTTTTGTTACTTTCAGTCCCTGTACTAAGCCCATTGTGCCCGTTGTACAGATAAGGGAACTGGGGTTTAAGGAGCTTCAGCGATTTGCCCAGGGTGATGAATAGAGCAGCCATGGTTCCAACCTGTGGGGCCCAACCCAAAGGCCAGCCTCCTAACCTCCCTCTACTCATACTCCCTTCCTGCGAGACCCCAGGCCTGGTCGGCAAGGGGAATGGGTGGAGTGAATTGAGATGATAGAAGACCTTGGAAGCCAGAAGAAAGCATTGACTTCATAAGGCAGAGGTAGCAGGGAGCCACTGAAGGTTTTAGAGTGAGAGAAGGATGTGATAGATATGTTTAAGATAATCCCAGCACTTTGGGAGGCCGAGGAGAGCAGGCCACTTGAGGTCAGGAGTTCAAGACCAGCCTGGCCAATGTGCTAAAACCCAGTCTCTACTAAACATACGAAAATATCTGGGTGTGGTGGTGCATGCCTCTAGCCCCAACTACTCAGGAGGCTGAGGCAGGAGAATCACTTCAACACTTGAACCCAGGAGGCAGAGATTGCAGTGAGTCAAGATTACGCCACCGCACTCCAGCCTGGGTGACAGAGCGACACTGTCTCGGAAAAAAAAAAAAGAGAGAGAAAGAAAGACCAGTCAGGCTAAGGGGCCACAAGGATATCAGTGACGGAGACCTTCAAACTGGAATGGAAGTGGCCAAAGTTAAATGCTTCCCAAGCCACTGGGCTGTAGGTACCATCGGGTCTAGGAATATGCTGTCCCTGGATTTGACAACAGTAAATGTACATTTATGACTAGAGGCTTTGTAGACACTTTTGGGGTGTAGACTGATGGGCTTTTGGCTGGAGGGCGGGCTGGTAGGCAGCTAGAGGCAGAGTGTGGGGCAGAGGCATGACTAGGGAAATGTCTCCAAGGAGCTGCTTATACTCAGAGCTCTAAGAGTAAGGTCCTTCCCTCCCACAGCTCACAGGGCTGCATGGCCACTCTGGCAGGGGCAGTAGAAGCTGGGCCTCCTCCCTCCTGACCAGGCGGGTCCCAGCCCGGGGCACAGTGCTGCCCAAAATGAGGCTGGTGAGGCTGTTGGGGGACAGGCACAGAAGAACAGAATCTGACGTGTGTGGGTCCCCCAGGCACAAGCTCTATCCCTGTCATCTTGTTTGATCCTGACAGTCAGGGATTATTATCTCTCTGCATCTTATAGATAAGAAAACTGAGGCTCAGAGCGGTTAAATAACATGCTGAAGGGAAGGGAAGGGGCTGCCATACAGACTTCAGCCTATCTTAGTCTCGAAGATTATCTCCATGCTACACATAGGGGTATGGCTGGAGGGGACCACCCACAGGTTCTCATGGGAAAAAGTTTTGTTTTCCAGTTCTCCTTTAGGATCAAACTATACTTTATTGCCCTTTCCATGCTCTAAACTGTGACTGTTCATCAGTGTGTCCCTAGAGCCCAGACAGTGACTGGCACATAGAAGGCACTCGGGGTGTGACCCTGGAGTGATGGTGGTTGATGGGTGGATAAGAAGAAGCAAGGGAGGGAGGCAGGAAACAAGCAGAAGTACAAAGACAAATCTAATCACAATAACTCAGGAAACCTCAAGGAAACCTCAGCCCCTGAAGGGGAGGAGAGCCCTGGGACTTTGGGGGACAGGTGGGAAGCCAGTTGGCCCAGTCCCAGCACCGAGCCCTGTCTCCTCCCCTGCAGGGCTGATCCGGTCCCGAGTGCGTGGGGCGGATGTGGCTGCAGCTACCGTCCTCACATTTCTGGATAGTCACTGCGAAGCGAACACCGAGTGGCTGCCGCCCATGCTGCAGCGGGTGAAGGAGGTGAGCCGCCGTCTCTGGGGAGTCGGGCGTCCTTGGGGACTCAGCCGCTACATTCCCAGCACCGAGGCCTGTGGGACAGTCTTCGAAGCTGGGCAGGCATCGTAGGAAACCCAAATAGTCTACTTCCCCCGAGTGACTTCACCTTATTGAGTTTTCTCATCTGAAAATGGGGATAATTGTAATAATTATCCCGTTGGGTTATTGTGAGAATGAAATTGGATGAAAGCCTGGGTGAACTACAAAGCTCCTACTATAAATGGGTGTTGTTTTTCTCCTGAGAGAGTGAGGGTCCTGTGCTGGGAGAGCTTTTGTTCAGGCTGGGAAGCCCTTGCAGGAGGGAGGAGAGGATGCTGTTCTCAAAGAGAGGGGAGGGTAGGAGGGCCCCTGCCACATACCTACTGCTCTCCAGAACGGGGAGGATTTTGGACAGATGGCAGAAAATGATGAGATGATTACAACCCGACCATAAAAAGACAAATAACCCAATTTAACACTTGGCAAAGGGACCTGGAGCGGTGGCTCACCCCTGTAATCCCAGCACTTTGGGACGCCAACGCAGGCAGATCACCTGAGGTCGGGAGTTCAAGACCAGCCTGGTCAACATGGTGAAACCCCATCTCTACAAAAATACAAAAAGTAGCCGGGCATGACGGCGGGTGCCTATGCTCCCACCTACTTGGGAGGCTGAGGCGGGAGAATCACCTGGTCCTGAGAGGCAGAAGTTGCAGTGAGCCAAGATCACACCACTGACTCCAGCCTGGGCAACTGAGCGAGACTCCATCTCAAGAAAAAAAAAGTTGGCGAAGGATTTGAGTAGACATTTTTCCAAGGAAGATATAGAAATGGCCAATAATCCTAGGAAAATATGCTCAGCATCATTAGTCATTAGGGAAATGCAACTCAAACACATAATGAGATGCCACTTCACACCTGCCAGGATGGCTAGAATCAAAAAGATGGACAATAACATGTGCTGGCAAGGACATGGAGAAATAGGAGCTGTATCAGGCCATTCTTGCACTGCTGTAGGGAAATACCTGAGACTGGATAACTTATAAAGAAAAGAGGTTTAAGTGGCTCACATTGTACAAGCATGGCACTGGCGTCTGCTTGGCTTCTGAGGAGGTCTCAGGGAGCTTTATTCATGGCAGAAGATGAAGGGGGAGTAGGTACCTCACATGGCAAGAGTGAGGGCAAGAGAGAGTTGGCTGGAGGTACTACATACTTCTAAACTAACCAGATCTCATGAGAAGTCACTCACTATCACGAACACAACACCAAGCCATGAGCGATCCACCCCCATGACCCAGACACCCCCAACTAGGCCCCATCTCCAACCTTGGGGATTACATTTCAACATGAGATTTGGGTGGGATAAATACCCAAACCATATCAGGAGCCTTCATATATTGCCGGCAGGAAAGTAAAGTAGGGCAGCCACGTTGGAAGGCAGTCTGGCAGTTCCGCGAAAGTTTGAACATAAGTTAGTTACCATATGACCCAGCAGTGGAGCTGCTAGGTGTATACCCTAGAGAAATAAAACATATGCTCACACAGTAACTTCAGAGCAGCACTATTCAGAATAACTGAAAGGTATGAAAAATCCAAATGCCTGTCGACTGACGAATGGGTAAATAAAATGTAACGTATCCATACAACAGAATTATCCCGTCATTAAAAAAATGAAGAACTGATTCATGCTACAACATGGATGAACTTTGAAAACCTATGTGAAGTGAAAGCCAATCACGAAAAGCCATACACTATATGATTCGATTCATAGGAAATGTCCAGAATAAGCAAATCTATAGAAATAGCAAGTAGATTGGGTTTCTTATTGGGGTGGTGAGAATGTTCTGGAACAAGATAGTGGTGATAGTTGTATAATCTTGTGAATATACTAAAAACCATCAATTGTGCACTTTAAACCTGTGATTTTATATCTCAGCACAAAAAAAGTCTATAAAAAGGATGAGGTGAGGCCCTCCACAGAGTATTGAAAAACCATCAAAGGTCTCCGCTGTTCAGCCCCATCTCAGGCTTCCGTTATCTTGATCTAGGGTGCGAACTGAGGGGTAGAGCTGGATTCCAAGTTCCAGACAAGAGGATTTGGGGGGCGAAAGCAGAGTGGAGAAAGAGAAGAAAGAAGGGGCTCTGTTCCCTGTCCCCCATGGAGGGTGAAAGACGAGAAGGCTCATGAAGGGTGATGAAGTTTTGCATGTGGTATATGACGTAATCTACCACCCAAAAAAAGAGACCAGCAAAATCAACATTATTCCTCAAGGTTTTGGATTTGGATTTGTGTTCTGGGAGGTGATGCAGGGAGTGATGAGTCTGACCTTGTAACAGTGGATGTGGTATGAGAGAGATAGCACCCAGATTACGTGGGGACCACAGAGCCCCTGCCCTCCAGCCGCTAGTAGTCCTGTTGGGAAGACTCAAACAACTATTATACAAAGGTAAATGATATTAATAAAGCAACAGTTCAGACCAGAAATAGAAAAGCCACCTCAGGCAGCACAGTGAGTCACCGTCCCAGGAATCATCTAGGCTGTCATTGTAAGAGCAATTTAAAAGAGGAAAAAATCCTTCAGCCTGCAGCAGTCAGGGAAGACTTCATGGAGTAGGTGAGATTCTAGCAGGGCTCAAAATGATGTGTGAGGAAGAGGCTGGGAGAGTACATGGGAGCCAAATAGGAACATCCAGGAGCTTGGGTGTGATGATGTGGGACAGCTGCCAGGAGCCTGCCAGGGTTGAGGGGCGGCCCTGGGCATACCCTGCAGGAAGTGCTGAGTGCCCCATGTCTCAGAGAGGCCTTCTCCCCAGAGCAGGCAGCTAGGCCTTTTTCTGCAGAGGAGTCCCAGGCCTCACACCATCTCGCATCTCTCTCCTAGGACCACACCCGTGTAGTGAGTCCCATCATTGATGTCATCAGTCTAGATAATTTTGCCTACCTTGCAGCATCTGCTGACCTTCGTGGAGGTGAGTTCTACTCCCAGGGATGGGGCTGTAGACATGAAAGGAGGTAAGTGAGGCTAGGCAGGCAAAAACCCTTGCTTGCTGCTCTTTCCGGCTGTGCCAGAAAGCCTCATGCACACCCCTTCCACCACCTCCAAAGAGAAAATGAAGAGGGATTGGGCGCAGCCCTGGGACTGGGGACAAAGGAGCAGCACTGGCAGTTGCAGGCTTCTGGTTCAATCAATATCGGAGCCAGACTAGTCTCTCATCTTTCCCTCCCTCCAAATATTGACACTTTCTTCCCAAATGCTTCAAGCCTAGGGATCATGGTCACAAGTCCTGGCAGAAGGCCATGATGTGACAGCTGTCTTGAGGATGAGGATGTCTTGAGTGGGGATCCCTCGGCCTTGCATGACTTCCTAACACGTGTGCCCCAGAGATGGTCAAGACCTGTGCTGTGTATGGCAATTATCAGCCACATTTGGCTGTTGAGCTCTTGAAATGTGACTAGTCTTGAAAAGTGACTAGTTGGAACTGAGAGTGCTGTGGGCATAGAAAACCCACCAGGTTTCCCAGACTTAATGTGAAAGAATGTAAGATACCTCATTAGTAATTTTTTGTATTGATTACATGTTGAAATGACAATATTTTTGATATATTACATTAAAAAATTTCATCCAAATTAATTTCATATATTCTTTTTCTGATGTGATTACTAGAACATTTGAATTACGTATTTGGCTTACATCTGTGGCTTGTATTATATTTCTTTTGGACTGTGCCAGGTTATTCAGTACAGTAGATAATAGCCACCTTTGGCTACTTAAACTTACATTAATTCAAATCAAATGAAACTTAAAAGGCAGTTCCTTAACTGTACTAGCCACATTTCAAGGCTCAGTAGCCACATGAAGTTAGTGGCTATGGTATTCGACAATGCAGATATAGAACATTTCACCGTTGCAGAGAGTTCTATGGAACTGTGCTGCTCTAGAGAGTCTGGTGCTGGGAGCTAGTGGGCACAGCGGATTCCCCGTTTGGGATCTGGACTCCCAGTATATGGACCCAGCCATTAGTTAGATCGCGAGTCTGGGTGGGATTCTGAAGGGAGCCAGGCATTTCCCCTTTGGGAAATCACCTCAGGGCTTTGGCACTGGCAGCTGCCCCTGCCTGGAATTCCCTTTTTCCAGGTATCTGCATGGATCTATCCTTCATTCAGGTCTCTACTCCAAAGTCACCAGAGAGCCCTTCCTGACTATTCTAACTATAATATTAATAGTATGGGGACTCCTCCTTTTTTTTTTTTTAGTGCTTTCATCCCAGCAGACATAGCCTCCGTTGATTTATTTATCTTTGTAGTTTCTGTCTTACCCAGTAGATGGTGCACTTCCTGAGAGGAGGGGCTTGGCTCATTCCGCATGAAGGAGGGGCTGCACGAATAGCCAGGGCTCTGATCAGGGGAGACTCCGAGGGGTGGTGGAGTGAAGGGGCTCAGCAGCCCACAGCTCTGCCCTGAGCTCTGTCCTCACCTTGCTCTGTCCCTTAGGGTTCGACTGGAGCCTGCATTTCAAGTGGGAGCAGATCCCTCTTGAGCAGAAGATGACCCGGACAGACCCCACCAGGCCCATAAGGTCAGGGCTGCTGTGGGCTCTGGGGGACCCCTTCCTTCCCTGGGTCAGGGGCCTGGGAGGCTCTTCAGAGGCTACATCGGTCGCTTGGGCTCCTGAGGTGCACTGTCAAGTGCCGACTCTGTTCTGGGCCCTCAGAGCCTGTCTGCAGAGACGGTGCAGACAGAGGCCATGGGAACAGATGTGGGGGGCCAGGGAGCTGGCCAGACATCCTGCCCCAGTGACTCTGCAGGGAGGGATCTAGAGGCTGGCGGTCTTGGGTCCTGGGGCCATCTAAAGGGCCTCCTTGCTTCTCCAGCTCATGTGTTGCCTCTTCCCTCTCCTTGCTCCCAGGACGCCTGTCATAGCTGGAGGAATCTTCGTGATTGACAAGTCCTGGTTTAACCACCTGGGAAAGTATGATGCCCAGATGGACATCTGGGGAGGAGAGAATTTTGGTGAGTTGGGAAATAGTGACAGTGAAAATAACAGAAGCAGTAAGAACCATAGCTAACCCTGACAGAGCACTTTCTATGCGAGAGGACCTGATCTAAGGACTTCACACACAGGAGGTCATTTAATTCTCTCAAGGACCCTCTGAGGTAAGTATCATGATCTCCATTTTACTGATTTTAAAATCCAAGGCACAGAGAAGTTAAGCAATTTGTCCTAAGCCACACAGCTAGTAAACAAAGAGGTTCTATTCGGGGGAGCCCGTGGTCGCATGGCTGGACATGTGTGTGGAAGAACACACAACTGTATCACAGACCACAGCTTACACACGTGGCTGCTTCCCTACCAGCAAGGCTGGGAGGTGTGTGGTAGAGGGTGGTGGTGAGATGCTAAGTAATGGAGTCAGATGGCCTGGGTACAAACCCTGGCCCTACCACCTGCATGCTGTTTGGCCCTGGGCAAGTTAAAGCCCTTTAAAGTCTGACTTTCCTCAAGAGGTTGTTATGAGTACTAAATGAGGTGATGAGTTAAAGGCAGGTCACAGTGCTGGTGGTCACTGTCATTAGGCAGTCTCTAGACTCAGAAGGCACAGGAAGCTGCCCCTCCCTGCCCTGAAGCAGCAGCGACGGAGACAGAGGTGGGGGCGAACTGTTCCAGGAGGGAGCTGGAGGGGCTGGGCCCTCACACACTTGCTTCTCAGCTCATGGTGTTGGGACCACGGAGTACCAGGAAGGGTTACCAAGTGGGATCGCAGCCCAAACTCTGGACTCCATTATGTGTGGGCTGGCAAGCCAGTCAACTCTTTGAATCTCAGTTCCTTCATTTGCAAAACAGGGTTGCCTGTGAGATGGAAGTTAGATAAGGGTGAGCATCATCAGTTAGGGTCCTGGCAGAATACGGAAGGTGCGCCCAACGTGCGTGTTTATTAAAGGCCTTATTTACACAGTGCAGGCAGGATAGAGGGAACCGCAGGGACAGCGCAGTACTGGGCAGGACTGTGAATTCTGGGAGCTGTAACCACCCCGATGTCTGAAAGACAGGGTAAGGGAGCACCCCACGATGGAGCTGTGGTCATGGAGCACATGCAGCCAGCCCATGGCACCAGGTGGAGAGTGTCCCCCTCACTCTACCCCAACCCCATCATCTCCTGCTGGTGCCTCCCTGTCCGCCTGAGGAAGGGAACTCCATGGTGCAGCCCTCAGGGGCAGTCTCACAAACAGCGATGTGGAGATGGGGGCGGTGGGGAGCACCATTCTGGGGTCTCCAGGAGCAGGGGCATGTACTTGGTGGCCTGTTCTTGCCCTCTTGGTGGACCCAGCCCTTCACAGAGCCCTGTCCCACTGCTTCCTTCTTCTTCCTGACCAGGTGTTCTGTGCAGTAACTAGGGCTGGTGGTGTCTCACCCATCTGACAGGTGGAAAGACTGAGGCGGATGCTACCTTCCACATTGCAGTCCGGAAACTCCACGTGTAACGGGCATATGCAGCTCCTTTACCAGAGCCACTTATGTGTTTGTGGGATGTTGGCAAAGTCACAGTCTATGTCTCTGAGATGTGAGGAGCAGGGATTCTTTAAGTCTTTCTCCCTGATCAGGAAAATAGCAGCAAGGGGGCTTGCAACAGGCCTGATCCCGAATCAAAACCAGCTGGAGTGGGAATGGGCATGGGACTCCCCCTGCTTTGTAACTTGCTTTTGGAGGCTGTTTCCAGGCAGGGTTTGGAGGAGTAAATTCTGGGAACTGGGGTGCAGTGACCCCTCCATTCTGACCCCTTTCATGTGTTTTGGGTCCAAGTGACCTGCTTTGTGTCCTCAATCTCGGCCTGAAGGGCTTTGGCAAAACCAGTTTCCTGTGAAGACTTGGAAAGCTGGGAAACCCACAGTCTCCTTGCTCTGCCTCCAGAGGCCTTTTTTTCTTTTTCTTTTTCTTTTTCTTTTGAGGCTAGAGACAGAGAAACAAGTGAATGATCAAATAGCTCACTTCAAACTCTGCCTGAGGCAAGGGCTCCGTGGTTGGAGAACTTGAAAGGTGAACCACAGAGTGGTTCTGGCGAGGGTTTTGTTTCTTAGAAGAAATTCAAAGAAATGTCTAGGCTAGCTGCAGTGCTCAGACGTTCAGTCACTGGGACCGGTTTTGAGCTGTGAGACTCCTGTCGCCGGCGAGTTTGAGCCTTTTCTTTTGTTCCTGTATTGAAGGAAGGGAGATTCCCACACCAAGATGTGTTCTTTCGTGCCCAAAGAATTCCAACTCGGGAGCCCAGAGGCCACCTTGAGTGTGGCTGGCAGATGTGCAAACTTTGGGATTCATGTTGGGGATCCTTTTCAAACATAAATTATGTTGCTCCTGTGCTCAAAATCTTGCAAGGATTCTCATGTCACTCAGAGGAAAACCCAAACTCCTTACTGGCTACGAGGCCCTAAGGTATCTGCCTGTCCCTGCAGCCACACACCTGCCCTCACTTCCCACTTACCCTACCTGCCTCACTCCACGTGGGCTTCATGGCCTCCATTCTTTTTTTGTTTTTTAGACGGAGTCTTGCTCTTGTTCCCCAGGCTGGAGTGCAGTGGCTCAATCTCAGCTCATTGCACTCTCTGCCTCCCGGATTCAAGCGGTTCTCCTGCCTCAGCCTCCTGAGAAGCTGGGATTACAGGCACACACCACCAGGCCTGGCTAATTTTTGTATTAGTAGTAGAGACAGGGTTTCACCATGTTGGCCAGGCTTCTCTCGAACTCCTGACCTCTCAAGTGATCCGCCCGCCGCGGCCTCCCAAACTGCTGGGGTTATAGGCATGAGCAACTGTGCCCCCGCCAGCACAGCCTCTTTGAACCTGCCAGCTATGCCCTTACCACTAGGGACCTGCCCTTGCCGGCTCCTCTGCCTGGAATGCTCTTCTCCTGCCAGCCACAGGACTTGCTCCCTCACCTGTTTCAGGTCTTTGCTCAAATGTCCCTTTTACAGTGACAACTCTCCTTATCAGCCGAATTTAAAACACAGTCATAGTCCTCCCCCAGCACCATCCACTGGCCCTCTTCAGTTCCCAGCTTGGGTCATTTTTCTCCATGGCCCTGACTACCATCTGATATGCTCTATTTATTTTATTTTTTTTTTCATTTTATTTATTTATTATTTATTTAGTTTTAGAGACAGAGTCTCACTCTGTCGCCCAGGCTGGAGTGCAGTGGCGTGATCTCAGCTCACTGAAACCTCTGCTTCCCGGGTCCAAACAATTCTCCTGCCTCAGCCTTCCGAGTGGCTGGGACTACAGGTGCATGCTGCCACACCTGGATAATTTCTTTTGTATTTTAGTAGAGACGGGGTTTCACCATGTTGCCCAGGCTGGTCTCGAACTCCTAAGCTCGGGCAATCCACCGCCCTCAGCCTCCCAAAGTGCTAAGATTACAGACGTGAGCTACCGCGCCCAGCCGATATGCTACATTTTTATGCATTTTCTTGTTTCCTTGTATTTTTTTGCTTCTTATTTTATGGAGTTCCTTTCTCCCTGCTTCGCTGCTAGAGTACAAGGGAATCTAGAGCAGTGTCTGACATATAATGAAAATTTGCTGAGTAAGCTAAAGAATCTGGCTGTGTGGCTTGCTGGACACAGTGTGAACTTGATGCTGCATTTCTGCAACTGAATATTTGAGTGACCTTGAAGAGGTTATTTAACATCTTTGAGCTTCAAAGTTCTCATTAAAAAAAATAAGGGTAATAGTCCTGACTTCACATGGTTGTAATGAGAATTAGACATTGGATAGAAAGAGCATGGTGTGTAGTAAGTACTCAATAAATGGATGGTTACTGCTATTGTTATGGCCATTGTTGATAATAATAACAATAGTTAATAATATTATAGACAATCTGGGCTGAGTGGGATGAAGTGACTTAACTAGCATAACAAAGTTGGGATGGCAGAAATGGAACCAGAATGCAGATCTTCTGTCCCCCAGGACTGTCCCCAGTTCTAAACCTTAGTTACTGAGGCCAACACAGACCTCTGACCAGGAGAAGGGATGGATGCCTGGCAGTTTATAGGCAGACCTAGGGAAGCCCATTGATACAGCCATCCTTACATGTGGGTCCAGGTATGCCAAGTGTCCAGTCCTGGCCCTGAACCACATCTGGATGTTGCTTGGTGCACATAGGCTGGCCAGAGGTGGGCGTTAGTCCTGCTTCCTCCACTCTGCTCTTTGCTAGTCACTGGGAGGGTCCTGACCAGCTACACCAGGTGAGAGCCCCCAGGCCTGGCTGGAGACCATGAGTGTCCTTACAGCCAACTGAGGAGTGGGAAGAGACTATAGGTTTAATATGAAGGAAGGTAGGAAATCAAAAGAGATTATGTGAGATTCAGCCAGCTGTCAAGGTGGGTCCTTACCATAAATGGCAACTGGTGAGTGGAGATCAGAGTGGTAACTTTTGAGGTCCCCTTCTGGGCAGCAGGATGGCCACTGCTCTCCCGACACCACTGGGGACCACAGTCATCCACAAAAGCTGGTTCAGCTCCATCGCCACCGTCAAAAGGAGGCATGGCTCAAGAGGGCCAGTGAGAGCCTGTACAAGGAGACCAGCTGGGCCAAGAGGGAGGTTGGGGCCAGCCCAAGAGGTGCCAGCTGGAGCAGCCCGTGGTTTGGTTGGCAGCTGGTTTTCCGACCTCGCGGGTGCACAGAGCTGGCTGATGAGCAGATGTGTTTTTCCTTAGCTCATGTCTGGCCGGGGCTTTCTAGACAGAGCCTGGAAATGATGCTGCTGTTCGGTTGTTTTCCTCCTATTTATGTTCTTGCTGTTCCTTCAAGCTTTTTCCACTGCTCTTCCCGGAATGGGCCACAGGGATCATGTGTATATGTGTGTGTGCGTGTGCACATGCACACGTAGAGTGGGCAGTCAGGAACATTGGCAAGAAGTGGAAGCACTCCATTTGAGCAGGCCCAGGAGCCCCGACCCCAGCATGTACCTCCAGTGAGACACCAAAGGGAAGGGAAGTCAGCCCCTTCCCACCCTCACTTGCCAAGGAGCCCCTTCCTCCTCCTGACGGCTACCATTTCCTGCAGAGCTCTCCTTCAGGGTGTGGATGTGTGGTGGCAGTCTGGAGATCGTGCCCTGCAGCCGGGTGGGCCATGTCTTCAGGAAACGACACCCCTACAACTTCCCTGAGGGTAATGCCCTCACCTACATCAGGTAGGTCACCGAGGAAGGAGCACGGGACTCGGAGCAGGACACCAAAGCCCAAGCCCCCAGCCCTGCCAGTTATCGCTATGTGACTGTGGGCAGCCACTTCACTTCTTGGGCCTCAATTTCCCAATTTGCCCCCTCTGGTAACCTCCTGGGATTGCAGGTACCTTCAGGGGTGGAGGGATGAAGTTACGGGAGTTGCCACCAGGTCTCTCTTGCCTTGACTTCCTTTGTCCATATGAGTCTCGGAAAATTGGCCAAATCGCCAACTAAGCCATGCTCTCCACTCATTGAGCCCTGAGTGCTGGTCATGGATGCCAGTGTCTCAACCCTGACTTGATCAACCATCTGTCCATCCCTATCCCCAGCTACAGGGTGCACTAGTCTCAAGGCAGAGTGGGTAATGTCCTAGAAGACCACTCCATGGTCTGCTGTCCTGTGGAGGTTGGCAGGGGAGGATGAAGGGCTTGTCATGAGCACCCTCTTACATGTGGATGGTTCTTCACCTTGTCAAGCTCATGCTTATTTGTACAGGGTTTGGAGCAGCAGCTGCCCAAGTCTAGCTGCATACCTACAAAGTCGATGGGTATTGACAGACTGTCTTCCAAAAGGATTGTGCTCATCTATACCATCCAAGTGTCACCTTGCTCCTGAGATTCTCATTGCCCTGCGTTCATGGATCAATTCATCTTGACCCTGACCACTAACCCTGTGGCTTCCCTGGTGACCTTATTTTGCTCTTTCCTCTCCTTTTAGGAACACCAAGCGCACTGCAGAAGTGTGGATGGATGAATACAAGCAGTACTACTATGAGGCCCGGCCCTCGGCCATCGGGAAAGCTTTCGGCAGGTAGGCCCCTCCAACTCCACTGTCTGACTCTCTCTACCCACATTAGCACAACCCCAGCAAAATACGAAGTGGTGTGTACGCCAGGGAACCGCCCACAACCTCCCCAGCCACTGAGCTCCCACTCTAGTGGGCTTCTTTGGGTCCTGGGAGGGAATGCAATGCAGAGACAAGACTTAGGCTTTGAGGAGCATGAAATCGCATGGGGAGAGAAGGCTCACTTATGAAAAAGAGCTGCCTGTCCACAGCTGCCTGCAGGAAAACAGGCATCTGTGGGAGTGCTTAGGAAGAGGCTGCCTGCAGAAAGCATCTGGGCTTCTGCCTCCACCCCCTGTTCAAAATTGAGATCTGTTAGCCTATTTTCCTGTCACGGACTGTTATGACTACGGTCTAGTTAAGCATTTTCAAAATGCAGCTGGGTTGTGAAATCAATTTAGTGGGTTGTGACCAGCATTTAAAAAGAGAGAGAGAGAAGTAGAACACTATAGATTAGATTAGCACAGAGCAGGATAGAAAATGAGAGTTGATTGCAGTTAAGGGTTAGTATTGTCCTTATGAAACTCTTATTTCAGTTGTGGGTGCATGTGTGTGCATGCATGTACCTACACATGTACAGTCGCCCCTCTGCATCCACAAGGGATTGGTTCCCGGACCCCCCATGGATACCAGAATCCACAGATGCTCAAGTCTCTGATATAAAATAGTGTAGTATTTGGATACCCTACGCACAACCTCCTGAATATTTTAAATCATCTCTAAATTACTTATAGTACCTAATACAATGCCTACACATCACTTCATTTGCGTGGATTCAATGTGCTACTCAATGCATGGTGAATTCAAGTTTGGCTTTGGAACCTTGTGGAATTTTTTTTTTTTTTTGATGGAGTCTCATTCTGTCACCCAGGCTAGAGTGCAGTGGCGCAATCTAGGCTCACTGCAGCCTCCACCTCCTGGGTTCAAGCAATTCTCCTGCCTCATCCTCTAGAGTAGCTGGGATTACAGGCATGTGCCACCATGCCTAGCTGATTTTTTGTGTTTTTAATAGAGATGGGGTTTCACCATGTTGGCCAGTCTGGTCTTGAACTCCTGATCTCAAGCAATCTGGCTACCTTGGCCTCCCAAAGTACTGCAATTACAGATGTGAGCCACTGTACCTGGCCTGGAATTTTTTCCTGAGTATTTCTGATCCAAGGTTGGTTGAATCCATGGATGCGGAACCCACAGATACTGAGGGATACTGAGGGCCGACTGTACATGGGGCATGTTAGATTACAATGTAAGATATTTATCTCCTACTTAAGCTTGTGGTCAGAACAGTTTGAAAACACAATTAATGATCATCAAGGAATCGTCTCCCTATTTATTCATATCTATCTACCTTTTTTTGAAAAAAAAAAGGTTATGTCACTAAATATTTTTTGTAATGAGGAACTGACATTTACTTAGCACCTGCCCTGTGCTAAGTGCTTCATGTCCCCTTAATTCGCTTGATTCTCACAAAAGCCTTCTCAGACGAGTGGTTGTGTCCCCAGATGAATGTAGAGGACACTGAGGCTCAGATAGCTGGTGACGAGGGTGTCAACCAGTGGCCATTGTGGTGAGTGTACCTGAGGAAGGTGAGGGTGGCAGTGTCCCAAGGACACATCTAATGGTTTTATTTGCCAGCACACCTGAAAGATGTTTAAAGCTTGCTCTTCCTGCTGTTAGACCTTTCTCCTGTACTTCTCGTTAACTCTGCACAGATAAAGACCAATTCATGGTCTGCTAACTGAGGTCTCAAGGAGTGAGACACTGAGAGAAAGACGTGGTCCCGTATGGTCTGTGCTCACCCTGAAAGGTGAGCTCCAGGCAGGAATTTAAGGAGTGAGGAATAGCCAGGAGACCTGACTTGAGCTTGCAGGTCAGAGAATGACATCAGACAAGTGGCCAGGGCTGGACATGGCAGGCTGGAAGGCTCCTCGTCCTTGCCTGCCTGAGACAGATGGGAAGAGGGGGCTGACTCCTGGGGTTGGGGGATGGGCCTCTGGCGTCCTCCCTGGGGCTGCCTTCCACACTGGCAGGCCAAATCCCGAGCCCTGCTTCCTCCTACAGTGTGGCGACGCGGATAGAGCAGAGGAAGAAGATGAACTGCAAGTCCTTCCGCTGGTACCTGGAGAACGTCTACCCAGAGCTCACGTAAGTGCACCCCTTCTTCTCATCCCACAGGCACGTAGGGGGTGGTTGGGGCCAGCACCCTGGTCCCCACCCCACCCTTAGATCTCCTCAACACCGGTGGTCTGGCTCTTTCTAGCTGCCAGGTTTTATCTTCATGTGAAGGCTCTGGGGGAACTGAGAGGACATTACTAGGAGTTATAAATTAGGTGTGGTGGGAACCAAATTTTTAATGGTCTCAGACCTAGAAATGGACATTATCCCCTTAGGACACAACATTCATTGCATTACATAGCAAAGGCTGCAGGACATTCGTCCCCTTTAGCCCTGCTCTCTCCCTTCTGGGAGTTTATCCTAAGGAAATAAAGCAACCAAAGCAGAAGCTGTTAACCAGTAGATCAACAGCTGCCGTGAAAAAATGAGAAACTGCCAGGCACAGTGGGTTATGCCTGTAATTCCAGCACTTTCGGAGGCCAAGGCAGGAGGATTGCTTGAGTCCAGGAGTTTGAGACCAGCCTGGGCAACATAATGAGACTTTGTCTCTACTAAAAAATAAGCTAGGCATGGTGGGACACACCTGTGAGTGGGAGGATCTCTTGAGCCCGAAAGGTAGGGCTGCAGTGAACCCTGATTATGCCACTGCACTCCAGCCTAGGTGTTAGAGTGAGGAAGAGGAAAGGTGTGGGGAGGTGAGGGGAGGTGAGGGGAGGTGAGGGAAGGGAAGGGAAGGGAGAAAGAGAAAAAGAAAGAAAGAAAGAAAGAAAGAAAGAGAGAGAGAGAGAGAGAGAAAGAAAGAAAGAAAGAAAGAAAGAAAGAAAGAAAGAAAGAAAGAAAGAAAGAAAGAAAGAAAGAAAGAAAGAAAGAAAGAAAGAAAGAAAGAAGGGAAGGGAAGGGAAAAGAAAAAGAAAAGAAAGAGAGAGAATCAACAATAGGGGTTGGGTTCAGTGAATCACCATACATAGATCTAAACAAATATTATGCACCAATTAATATTATAATCATAGAAACTGTGAAGAAAACACAGGGAAATGTTTGCTCTGGCAAATGAGAAAACAAAATGCAAATGGTATGTGCACTCAGGCTGTACTTACCCAGGAATATGTGTCCACTCTCACAGGACTGTGGGCAATAAGCTACGATGGCCTTTTCAGTGTCTTGGTTACATCCACGTGGTTCATTTCCTCACCTTCCTCAGGTCTTGACTCAAACGTCCTCTTCCCAGGGAGACGTTCCCTGAACACTCTGAGTTTGCAGCTCCACCTCCCTCCCCAGCATCGTCGTCTTCATGTTCCTTGTAGCCGTTATTATCATCGGCATTATCTGGTCAATTAATTGTGTTGTATCTCCCTGAACTTGCCTGTAAGTTCCATGAGGGTGGAGGCTTTGATCGGCTTGTTCGCTGCTTTATCTCCAGACCTGGAACAGTGCCTGTCATAAAATGGGCACTCAGTAAATATTTTTAATGGAATAAATTGCACAGTCCGTACACCTCAATCATGTATAAAAGCCACATGCTCCCTCTATAGCTGTCACCTTGGGGAACACGTTTCCCACCACTGCCAGCTTTCTCTCAAGGACGCTGCCGTGGCTTTCCGGAACACTTCACCCCTCAGAGCTTGCATATCCTTGAAAGAGGCAAATCTTTGTCCCTTTGAGGACAGGTTTGATTTTTGGCCAACAGCCACCATTAAGTTGTAGCCAAGTGCAGTGAATAAGCTAGATGATTAACCCAGATAATTATAATCCCAGGTCCCAAATACAGCATGACTGTAAAGGAACGAGATTAAACTGACCCTGAGAGCAATTTCCAAGAAGTTCCAGAACAATGTGAGCAATGGCAGTGTCACTGGGAGAAAGTCAGTGGCCTAGATAACCCCAGTTCCCTGGACACTAGCTGTGATGGGAAGAACATTAATTTATGAAAATGCAACTTCCTGAAGTGATCACTTGTAGGGGACAGTGCTCATTCAGATGCATCATTTCTGAGGCGCTGAAGAAAAAAGAGCAGTCACTTCTTTATGCTGTGTCAGCGTTCATACAACATTTGGGTGAAGCCCACTAGTTCCAGTCCTAGGGCATGAGTTGGGCAGCCTGTGGGAAGAGTGGGGGAGGCCTGGGAATGCCGTTCCTCTCCAACCCCAGCGCCCTGCCACAGGGTCTGATGACACCCCCAAGGACCAAGGGAAAGAAATGTCTCATAACTCTCAGAAACCTGGCTCGATCACAAGGCAGGAGATGAACCAGCTACGCCGATGAGGAGCAGAAGTCTTCTTCTGTTTGTTCTGCCACTGTGTGAAAGTTAAAATAATTTTTTGTCGCTAAAATGGAAACCCCAGACCTCATTCCTATCTGGATTACTCACCCCCAGTTCCCAGGGTGAGGGGCCAGGAGTGGATCAATTTGTTGATTAGAAAGGGGACCCATAGGCCTGAGTGATACCAACTTTCCTCCAAATAGGGGGTCCCTAAATAGTTGCCTAAACAGTCAGTGGGGAGACTGAGGAGGCTGAAAGAAGAGGCTTTTGCTCTCCTACGCCTGCCATGGCTCTGCCCCTTCTCCAGGTTAGAGCTCTGCAGCTGGCCTCAGCAACTGCTAATTTATTACTTGCATTAGGACTGTCAGGAACTGTTGTTCAGGCTGTGCATTGCACAAGCACATCATGTTTGTGAGGGTGCTAGTTGCATAGTAGACATGGCATGTCCATGACAGTAATTCCAAGCAAATGGCAGTAAGCATTCTTCTTCTAACAAAACCAGTATGTCAATTTTCTAACAGAAAGAAGTAGTGTCTTGGGGAATGGACCTAATGGCAGCCTGTGTACACGGAAGAGACCCATAGAGAAGAAAGTGGATGCAGAGTTTAGAGGTCTGCTGACAAACAGGACAGCTTAGCCTGGCACTGCCGGGGAGCTGGGGAAGGGTGGCGATGACTGCTATCCCAGCTGTTCCACAATTGCTGCCACAGTGACAGCTTAGGAGCTGCGTCTGATCTTGAGATTGTTCCCAAGCCTAGGGTTTCTTCCGTAAGCATCACTGGGCATTACCAACCTTGGTCAGTGTCCACCTCACCTCAGCTTGCACAACACCCTAAGCAACAGGGGAGTAGCAGGGTCTGGAACAACCCCTGGCCCTCGTGCTGTATTCCCCCTGAGCAGTTATAAAAGAGGTCTCAGTACCCGTCTTGTCGCTACAGAGAAGGGAAATGTAACACATTGCTCCTAGATGAGGCAGAGAGTGTGGAGCTCCTGCCCTTCAACATGCTTGCACGTGGCAGGGTTTGCGAACTCAAATTCTTACAGTGGTCAGGCAGGTGATGTCAATAAGTCAAATGGGTAGGGATGAGACAATGGAGAGTTGTGGGGACTGTGGCAAACTGTGATGCAAAAGCCCCACTCAGAGGGGCAGCGGCTACTCACCGCGGCGGATTAGTGCCATGCTGGAATGCAAGCTCCTTGTGGCCTGATCTTCCATTTTTCTCAGGAGAAGCTAGATTCAGATTTGAAGGTTTCTATGTAACCTTAAAATCATTCAATATTGCCAACTAACTAATTAAAAGCAACAACCACCACGCTATGCAGGCCAGACCATGTCCAGGGTCCAGGTTCAGCTTGGCAGTCGGCGGTTTGCCACCTCTGCTAGAAAGTTGCACGGCCTCCCAAAGGGAGTCTGGAGAGGCACAGGCTGCTGCCAGGGGTGTGGGAGAGGAATGGAAAGGGTCACTCTGAGCCTTTTGTGAGCAGATCAGTTCTGGAACTTTGCGGCTTCTAGCCAGCCCTGAGGAAGGAAGACCTGGTTCGGTCTAGATCCTACAGATGTCCACATCAAAGAATGCCAAACATATTATAATGGCCCAACCCCCCAGGCCCAGATTATTTCACCGACAGAGGTAACAGGAGGCAGAGAAGGCACACAGTTAGACTGTAACCCCTCCTGCTTTCCCATAACTCCCAGGCCTGGTGAGTCCTTAATCCAAGAACGAACATAACCTGAACTCAGGTATGCAAGCCTGCAGCAGCTGGGGCCAGCAGCGTCCTCAGGTTTATTACCTATAAGGTGTGTGTGTGTGTGTGTGTGTGTGTAAGCATATTTTCCTGTGCATATGTGAGGCAGGCAGGGGAGGGAGCCCCTTATTTTATAAGTGAGGAGACTGAGTGAAGAGAGAGGGAGGAAAGACTGAGCTGGGGCCTGCTGACTCCATCACACCAGGTCTGAGACACAGGAGCCTCTTGGATACAGGAAACGCAGCTTGCCTTGGAAACAGGACCAGCAGGGGACCAAGAAGGACAGCCGGATTTATATTATTAAAAACAGTGTTTTAATAATATAATATTTTGGCTGGGTGCAGTGGCTCATGCCTGTAATCCCAGCACTTTGGGAGGCCGAGGCGGGTGGATCACAAGGTCAGGAGATTGAGACCATCCCGGCTAACACAGTGAAACCCCGTCTCTACTAAAAATACAAAAAAAATTAGCCAGGCGTGGTGGCGGGTGCCTGTAGTCCCAGCTACTCAGGAGGCTGAGGCAGGAGAATGGTGTGAACCCGGAAGGCGGAGCTTGCAGTAAGCTGAGATCGTGCCACTGCACTCCAGCCTGGGTGACAGAACGAGACTCCATCTAAAAATAAATAAATAAAATAATAATAATTACAATGTTTTAAAACTTGCCTGTTTTACTTAATAGTGTGCTGTGAACATTTTTACATACTGGCAAGTATTATTTCACAAAGTCATTTTTTAAAATTGTATTTTATTTATGTACTTTGAGACAGGGTCTCACTCTGATGCCCAGACTGAAGTGCAGTGGTGGCATTACGGCTCACTGCAGCGTCAACCACCTGTGCTCAAGTGACCCTCCAACCTTAGCCCCACAAGTACTTGGGACTACAGGCATGTGCCACTGTGCCTGGATACTTTTTTTTTTACTTTTGTAGAGATGGGGTCTTTCTGTATTGCCCAGGTTGGTCTTGAACTCCTGGCCTCAAGTGATCCTCCTGCTTTGGCCTTCCAAAGTGCTGGGATTACAGGTGTGAGCCACCATGCCCAGCCATAAGTCATTTTTAATGGCTACAGGGTTTTCCATCCTATGGATGAATCCAAATTTATTTAGCCCAGCTCCTGTTGTTAGATATCTAGAAATTTCTGGTGTTTTCAATATAATCAGTCACTCTGAGTTGAATATCTTTTACAACATTTATAATTATTTCTGTAGGATATGTTTCTACAAGGGGCAATATTGGTCCAAGGTGTTTGCATTTTAAGGGCTCTGAGACATAATAGCACACTGCCCTCCTGAGAAGCTGTGCTAATCAACACTCTTACCAGGAAGGTGTGAGAAGATTCAATCTCACAGCTGTTTCCAACACTGGGCATTGTCATTAAGAGAGAGAGTGTGTGTGTGTGTGTGTGTGTGTGTACAAATGTACATGCATGGTAAATAAACATTGGTGACTCTGATATGTAGCTCTTTAATCATTACTGAGATTAAACACATTTTCATATTTGTGTTTAATTTGCCTCTTCGAAGCGCCCCCTTCCCTATCATTTTGGGATTGATTATTGAGCATACATTTTGGCCCCAGGCTCTCCTGAGGCTTTCCTCTTTCTGGACTGAGGGGCTCTGTTTTTCCAGCCTGAGCTCCACCCATGGCTCCCCCATCCTCTGTCTCAGGCCCAGCCTCCAGGGCAGAGGCTCCCAGAGCCACTTGGAAGAATTCCTGGGGCCCAGGCCCAGCCTTCCCAGAGGCCACTCCTGCTCCTCCCCTCCCCTGCTGGCCAGGCTGCTCCCAGGCCCCTTCCCGCAGACACCTCGGCGCTCCCGGAGCTGATGGGATGCTGGCGTCTGGCGGAGGGTGAAGGTAAGCCTCGGGGCGCAGAGAACAAGCCTGAATGCTGTCTTTTCTCTCAGGATCCCTGTGAAGGAAGCGCTCCCTGGCATCATTAAGCAGGGGCCGAACTGCTTAGAATCTCAGGGCCAGAACACAGCTGGTGACTTCCTGCTTGGAATGGGGATCTGCAGAGGGTCTGCCAAGAACCCCCAGCCCGCCCAGGTAAGCTGCTTAGGACCTCAGGTAGGAATGGGAGTGGGAGAGAGCTGGGGACATTGCCCAGGCGTGGGGTGAGGGACTTCCCCCTACTCATTCTCCTCTGTCTACACCTTACACAAACCCACTTTGCCAGGGGCCCCTAGACTCTGGTCCTACACATTCGTATCCCCTTTCCAGTTCCAGCCTGTCACTCGTGTGCACCACCTGCTTTGTGCTTGCCGAGGGAGAAGTGCTGCCCAGATAGTGCCCAGTTCTCTCCTGAGATCCAGCTGGGTTCAGCTCATGCGACAAGCAATGTTCAAGATTTCTGTGCACACATGGGTCCAACATATGAGTGTTGCACCCACATCGAAACTAAAGCAGGTCATGGAGACTCCAGTGAGGAGCAGCTCTCGGCTGCCCTGGTTCCATGTCTTGTCATTCTCTCTCATCCCCCACAGTCCCTTGGCACAGCCCTGATTGCCCTCTGGCCAGCTCCAGCTAAGCTCCCCCAACCCAATATTTTATCAAAAAATTCAAACATATAGAAAAATAATAAGAATTGTACAGTGAATACCCATACAACCACCCTAGCTCCTACAATTATTTGTAGAAATCTTACAAAAATATGCCATGTGTTTGATTTATTCCCTATCTACCCATCTCTCCACCCATCGCTGTACTTTTTGACTTGGCCTTTCTTCTCCCTGCCTTGCAGGCATGGCTGTTCAGTGACCACCTTATCCAGCAGCAGGGGAAGTGCCTGGCTGCCACCTCCACCTTAATGTCTTCCCCCGGATCCCCGGTCATACTGCAGATGTGCAACCCTAGAGAAGGCAAGCAAGTGAGTCTCCTTGCCTGCAGCACAGAGGCCCAGCAGCCCCAGGGAACCGTGCTTCAGGGTGGCAGACCTTGGCAGGGGAGCCCCTGGTTGACTCAAATAAGCCCTTCAGAGGAGGATCTGTGGGGAGGGGAGCAAAGTCAGCGTCTAGGTCAAGCCAATTATTCTGCCCATGAGGAAATACTTCTTTGGGTACTTATTCGTTTAATGCCATCCTGCCAGGCTGTGAGCTCCATGAAGGCAGGGACCACTTGTCTTGTTAACACGGTATGCCTGGCTCCTGACAACCACCACAGTTCAAATAAGTGTTAGCTTTTACTGACAGCCTGTGCTAGAAATTTGAAATAGATCATCTCATCTAATCCTCCCAGCCACCCAGTGACGTGGGTTCTAGTACTACCTCCATTTTATACGTGAGTAAGTTGAGGCTCACTGAATCTAAAGAATATAAGTCGGATCACACTGCTGAGAAGGGGTGGAACTGGGATTCAAACCCAGGTCAGTGTGACTTCTAGGCACATAGTCTTAACCCGGCACATAGTAGATGTTCAATAAGTATTTCTTGACTGCTGGCAGACTAGGGAAACTGAGATCCAGACACAATGATGTCCAAGCTGGCATGACCAGCCTCACGTGAGCACTGCCTTTTCCATTCGTCCGATACTCTCACCCACACTGTCACCACTAATCCTGGGAGACAGGTCAGGGTCAGGGAAGAAACTGATGCACAGAGAGGTGAAGTCACTCGCTCAGGGTACACAGCAACCAGTGACAGTGGAACCAAAGGCTGGATTTCCAGAGCCAGCCAGCTCCCTTCTGTGCTGCTCCCTTCCTGTCTTGGAGGGCTCCCTTGCCACCCAGGGAATGGGACCCAAGGCTCAGAGGCTGCTCCAGCGCTTCCCCTGCTCACGCTCCTCGGAAGCCCTCCCTGTGCCCGCCTCCGTCGGTGCAGGCAGTGAGGACGGTGCTCCCTCTCTGATTTGGCCTGCAGGGTTTTCCACCTACCCCCCTGTTCTTTGCTTGAGTCGGCATGTTTTTTAAAGGATGAACAGCAGTTTGCTGTGCCATTCTGGAAAGCAGCCACATCCTCTCCCTCCAGCCTGTGTGTGTCTGAGGGATCTGTGTGCCTAGCCCACTTGCTGGACCTGTGGGACACTTGAAGCACATTTGGATGGTGGGGGGATGCAGTCCACCCTCGGCCCTGCCCTGCAGTGGGGCTGTTGCAGTGTCCCCTGCATCTAGAGCACCCACCTCTCTGAGGGCAAATCCTTGAACCCACGCCCACCCTCTCCCACTGAGGAATTATCTCCGAGCAAACCTCCACTCAATTGCCCCTCTGGGGCTGAATCACCCATTTCCCCCCTTGTGCTGACGCAGCCTATGGGGTGTGTAGGAATCTCCCTGGCCCCATTCATTCTGCCCCTGCAAGTCCTGCCAGGCTCCTGATGGCACTCTGGGTACCTGTGCCCCTCTTCCCCCAGGAGGCCAGGATGAGCAGCTATCCCACTGCCAATGCCTTCTGGAATCCGGCCGTCCTTCTTGGTCCCCTGCTGGTCCTGTTTCCAAGGCTAGCTGGGTTTCCTGTATCCGAGAGGCTCCTGTACCTCAGACCTGGTGTGATGGAGCAGCAGGCCCCAGCTCAGTCTTCCCTCCCCCTCCCTTCACTCAGTCGCCTCACTTACAAAATAAGAGGCTCCCTCCCGTGCCTACCTCACAACGAATCTGTAAGAACCAAGATGTGGAGATGGGACAGTGGGTGATGTGATATTGTTTCTCAGACAAGCCCAGAATTGAGCGGCCTGGAGAGTCAGGAAACCCTGAGATTGTGCCTAATAGCACTGATAGTAAGTGAGAATGAGAATCCTGCTGTTTAGGGAGCACTTCCTAATGATTGGGTGATTCAGTCATTCATTCATCTTGAAACAAAATGACAGCCAGGTGCGGTGGCTCACACCTGTAATCCCAGCACTTTGGGAGGCTCAGGTGGGCAGATCATGAGGTCAGGAGTTCGAGACCAGCCTGACCAAAATGGTGAAACCCCGTCTCTACTAAAAACACAAAAATTAGCCGGGCGTGGTAGCATGCATCTGTAATCCCAGCTACTCAGGAGGCTGAGGCAGGAGAATCGCTTGAACCCAGGAGGCGGAGCTTGCAGCGAGCTGAGATCGTGCCACTGCACTCCAGCCTGGGCGACAGAGCGAGACTTGGTCTCAAACAAACAAACAAACAAAAACAAAATGACGTTGGGTGCCTACCTTGTACCAGAGAATGTACAGATCATATTGGCCACAAGGATGAAAGGACATGGTCCTTGACCCCCAGGGAATTTGCACTTTAGTGGAAGAGAAAGAAGGGAGTGAGCCACTATATTACAGAAGGCTAGATGCTGAGGTGGCACTAAGCACCAAGACTCCCTGGGGTGAGGATGGCCATACGCTCTCCAGCTGGGCGTTGCTGGAGGTTTGGCCTACGTGAGGTAAATGTCAAGGACTAGAAGAGCATGAAGAAATAGGAGGGGGGATCCAAAGGCCCTTGACCTTTAGGTTTCCTACGGAGACCATGTGGGCCCAGAGAGGCTGAGTCTTGGCCCTACCCCTCACATCCCTGCATTCCCACTGGGAGCCCAGGCTCCGCACCTGCCTTCCACCCTGTGTGCACAACCCCCTGCAGCCCTAGCCCTATCCCTGCAGCCCTAGCCCTATCCCTGCAGCCCTAGCCCTATCCCTGCAGCCCTAGCCCTATCCCTGCAGCCAGGTGGGTTCATCTCTCTCCCCCCAGCTGCTCCCTGTCCACCCACTGCCCTCAGAGCCCTCTGGGCTCCCTCCACATGGTCACGAGCACTCCTGCCTCTAATCAAAGACACAGTGAATGAGAGGAGAAGGAAGAGGGGAGGTGGTTGCATGGGAGGCAAATAGGAGAGAAACCCAAAATGGACCTATCTTACTATTATTTTTCCCTGAGCCTTGAAACCTAGGTCTCTGCCTCTCATCCCTTCTCATAAATGTTCCAAGCAACACTCCATCCTCCACCCAGGCACTTCCCTAATGTTCTACAGGAGCAACTCTTCTCCCCCTTGTCAAACCCGGGGACGGGGAGGCACCAGGAGGTGAAGGCACTGACCAGGAGCCCCTGCATGACTCTGATGCGAGACGTCCAGTCTCCCACCACCCTGCTGGCCCCACACTTCATCCCTACAAAGAAGGCAGCTTCCCACTAGGGGGTGTAGATAACTGGCCTCACAGGTCAGAAGCTTAGGACTGTAGGAAGAAGAAATCATGTTTGCAGAAGTAAAAGATTTACCTAGGCCAGGACTGACAAGCTCGAGTGCCTACAGGGAGCTGGTGGGAAAACCCCAATAGGAGAAAAGTCGGGACCAGGCAGGATCTATGGTGACCTGAAGAACAAGAGCCCATCTAAAGCAGAGGGCAAATCCTCAGCCCCAGCAACTGATGCCATGTAAGAAACTGGGCCCAATAACTACACAGAAGTTAGAAATGCAGATTTGCACGTGGCAACCAAGCTACATTGTAAATAAACACAGGGGATTTCTGCTTTGCCTCCTCTGATCTGGACAGGAACTTCTGCAAACTACAGAAGCAAGACCCCTGCTGGGAAGGGCAGGGCTTAAAGCTGGTGTTAGGGTAGGATGGGGGCAGCCTCTTACGTAGGAATACACAGCCTGATTTAAATGAGGGGCATGACTGGGCATGGTAGCTCATGCCTGTAATCCCAGTGCTTTGGAAGGCCAAGACAGGTGGATCTATCTAGACCAGCCTGGGCAACATAGCGAGACCCGGTCTCTGCAAAAAATTAAAAATTAGCTGGGTATGGTGGTGTGCATGTATCGTCCTAGCTACTCAGAGGCTGAGGCAAGAGGATTCCTTGAGCCCAGGAGTTCGAGGCTGCAGTGAGCTATGGTGGCACCACTGCAAGAACAAGATCATGCCTAAAAAAAAAAGGAGGGGGATGTGTCCTAGTTATATACAAGGGTTGAGTACATGCATGTGAAATGAAAGTACAACATTATTTTTTTAAATCATTGTTTTTTCCTTCCTCTCTTAACCCATCTCCGTTCCTCCTAGAAATGGAGGAGAAAAGGATCTTTCATCCAGCATTCAGTCAGTGGCCTCTGCCTGGAGACGAAGCCTGCCCAGCTGGTGACCAGCAAGTGTCAGGCTGACGCCCAGGCCCAGCAGTGGCAGCTGTTGCCACACACATGACGGTAGCCCCGGGGCCTCCTGTACCTTTTGCATGAGACTTTGGGACCGGAAGGGGGTTAGGGTGGGGGAGTGCAAAGCAGGCTGTTCCCATCTCCCACATTTCCGCCGGGACCATCAGCAAATACCCACCACAACACACGTTCTCCAAAGCTTGTTCCAGGAGGGCGCAGGCGGGCACGCCCCGATGCCCTCAGCGCTGTCCTGGCCGTGCCCCGGGAGAGGAGATGGTCAGGGTGCTGGACTGTTGCTGGGTAGAGACTGAGTAGGTGCCCCTGGCTCTTTGTCCTCTCCCTTGGTGCTTCTTGGGGCCAGGACAATAGTGTGTGGTCTCTCCCCTTGTTGCCTGGAGAGAGCAAGGACAGAAGCCCACACAGGGGTCTGTTGGGTCATGAGGCCCAGCTGTGTGGGCAGGCAGGGCCGGGGGAATTGGGCAGTGTGGATGGAGAGGCTGAAGGGAGAGGGGCAGCCTACAGGAGCAGGTAAAGAACAGGAAGGAGGTGAGAAGCCTGGTGACCTGTCAGTGATGCCAAGCCCAGGGTGGCACTGGGTTGGGTGGGGACGGATGGTATCTTGGCAGCAAAGGATGGGTAATTTGCAAATGAACATGGATAGAAGAGCAGCAAAGCACCAAAAGAACAAGTTCTCTTACCCAGGACGCAGTCCCTTCCACACTTTACCAGCCCCGGGGTCTGAGCCCGGCACTGTGCCTCCGGTCCTGTGCCTGAGGGTGCCCACATTCTTAGCAAAAGGCTGCAGAGGGATCTCTAGGGGAAGATTCGGGCATAGTTTATTAAACAGACTCTGCTTCTGTTTGGCCACGTGTCAGGCTGAGACCTCTCTCTTGGAACAGCTCGTGCCCTGTCCCTGCGGCCAGGACCCACTGAAAGGACGGGTAGCCACACACACCCCCGAGTAGCCCCAGCCTTGTTTGTCATTTTTGACTCCTGCTTTCTCAAAGGTTTTGGCCTCTGTCAATACAGCATCATGGGTCAAGGTGGCTGGAAAGAAGGGAACCTCCTTTCTGGACCATGAACAGCCCCTAAGTCATTAGGGCTCAACATCACCCTTATTCCCCTCCCCGCTACAGGAGGGATTTTCTTGAAGTGTCAGCTATTGCACTGGGCTGGGAGCCTGGCTGTGGCTCCTGTTTGTGTAGAGAACTCCCAGTTCCTTTTCACAGCCACTGAGAACACATTCACACATCTATCCCATGGCCTAGTCTTGGAACTGCTCCTGCTATCCCTGCGCCCTGCTTCCCTTGCCCCACTGGCTCTTGGGCAAAGGATTGTTGGTACCAGGACCCTGGGGGTCTCCCCTACAAAGCAGACCAGCCTGGGGCAGATATACCTACCACAGGAGCCCCCTGTCTTTCATAGGCCAAGGATCCACACACCTGTAGAGTTCATGGATTCCAGAAGGTCTAGGAATCTCCTGAAATTGTCCCTAAAATACTGCATGTGTGTGCATACATGCATTTTCCTGGGGAAAGAGTCCATGGCTTCTAAAAGAGGTCCCTGATCCCCAAAGGGCCTGAACCTCTGCTCTGGATTGAAGCCACTGCCTGCCCAAGCTGCCACCCCCTAATCTTCCTCCCTGGTGTGCTCAAACTGCCATCGCCTGCTCCCTCCACGCGGCCCTTGGGGTCGGCAGCCGAGTGTGTGTGGTCCGCAGCACCTGCTCTGGAGGGCTCTCCAGCGGTTTCGCCTCCTGACTCTCACCAGCGTCCTCTCAGCAGCGCTCCCATGCCCAAGTGCACACCCCTGGACTTGCCAGTGCAGGGCCCTTCGCCCCCAGGGCCACGCTTTGCCCGTCCTCTGTTGTGATGTTTCTTCCACAGCCAGGTGCAGCCTCAGATCCCCTGTTCATCTGGGAAGCCTCCAGCCACAGCTTAGGACAGAACCGGGCCCAGGAAAAAGGCCTCTCCCCAGAGGATGGACTAGAAGGCCTGGGCCACACTCGGGCATGGACCTTTGGGGCTGGGGAGCGGGGGCTTCTCCTCTTGAATATAAGAGGACTGCTGGCCAGGGGGCCTTCAAAAGGGTCTCTCCTTTGCTGTGGTCAGATCAGGCTCTGCACTTATCAGCCAGTCCCTTGTGGCAACTCAGCCCTATTCTGTTTTTGCTTTTCCTCTTCTTGACCAAAGCATGTGCCACTAGCTGTCCTTGAGGACCTCGTCTTTATGAAACACACACCTGGAATAAAACCACTTCTTACATGTCCACACGCACCAGCGCCTTCCTTTCTGCCTCCAGGCCTAGCCCTTCAGCACCACCCTCCGCCGCCTCGTGGGGGAAGTCAGGGCCTCCTTTCTGTAAAAGTGAAACTGTACGTGCTCAAGTCTAGCCCTCTGCTGCACCTGGTAGCTTGCTCGTCGGCCTCCATGTCCTGTGGTGCCCCAGGAACTCCTGACTGCTCCTGTTGGTGGGGGCCAACAGGTGGCCCTACTGCAAGGGCAGGCCTTGGACCAAAACCAGGAACCAGCTCAGGTCGGGCAGAGTCCAGGCTCCTGTGGCCTCATCACAGGATCCTACTTGGGGCTTAGAAATGGAAAGCAAGGCCAGGCACGGTGGCTCACGCCTGTAATCCCAGCACTTCGGGAGGCCGAGACGGGCGGATCACGAGGTCAGGAGATCGAGACCATCCTGGCTAACGCTGTGAAACCCCGTCTCTACTAAAAAAATACAAAAAATTAGCCGGGCGCGGTGGCGGGCGCCTGTAGTCCCAGCTACTCAAGAGGCTGAGGCGGGAGAATGGCGTGAACCCAGGGGGCGGAGTTTGCAGTGAGTGGAGATCGCGCCACTGCACTCCAGCTTGGGGGACAGAGAAAGACTCCGTCTCAAAAAAAAAAAAAAAAAAAAAGAAAGAAAGAAATGGAAAGCAAATTGCTTCTCCAAATAGGTATGGCCCTGCCGCCATGCTTGCCTTTAGCCAGCCCCCTCTCCTTCCCTGAGAGCCAGCCCTGTCCCCTTGGAGCTGCCCTCCCCTGCTCTACCACACAAGAAGGCAGTGGTACAAATTCAGACAGGACACACTTCCTGGGTAAAAACAGCAAAATAATTCTGAAAAGAGTCTTACCAGACCAGCTTTGCTTGATTGGGTAGCAGATGCTCTGCCTAATGTTCCCATGGAAACCAATGGAAAACCCCCACCATATCTGTGATCAGAAGCTGAACCTACCCAGGTAAAAATAAACGCTGCTTCAACACACATATGAACTGCGGTCGGCAGGCCAGCACACCACTAGCTTCTCCTGGACGCAGCCATTTCTGCCCTCAGCCCCACTTTGCCGTAGGGCTGCTGATCTGGAGTTACCCAGAACTTCTGACCCCTGGGCCTGAAGAGCCTGGAGCAAAGCCCTCGCTGGCTGCAGAGAATACGCCTTGGCTACAATGTCCAGCTTGGTCTGGGCTTGGGAGGCAAGTCACTGTAAAAGACCCTGGCTGCAGTCTCCATCCCCCCATCCATCCCTCCATCTTCTCAGGGAGCACAGCCCACCACCCACCGCCTACTCAGGGCTCCCTCCTGGCTCACTGAGCCCCATTTCCACTCTCCATCTATTTTCACTCTCAGCCTTGGAGGGCTCTGGTTCTTGTTCCTCCTGAGTCAGGCTCTCTCCTCTTGCCTTCTCTCCTCCAAACCTACCTCTCCCAAAGGCCATTTTCTGTGCCACCCAGTTATTTTCTTGGGAGCTAAGCCTGTCAGCCTTTAGCCAGCCCCCGGAGGAATCAGCAAAAGCCCCAGGCTCGGTATTAACAGTTGAGTCACTGGCAGGAGAGTCCCCCAAAAGCCTATGGGCGGGGCGGCAGGAGGGACTTCTGCACCGGGGCCAGACTCCCATTTGTACAGCAGGGAGCAGTTCCTGGATCCCTGGGCCTCTGTGACTTGGCTTCAGTTTTTATAAGGGCTCTTCCCCCTGGCCCCTCAGGAAGGCTGTCTCCATTTGCAGCTGGGAGAAACAACCTGGACAATATGACTGTCCCCCCAGGGTTCCAGCACCCCAAGGCCTGCAGGGGATGTCTCCCAGCACTGCATGGGGTGTGGTCCTCTCCCACCAGGGAACAGCAAAGGAAACCTGGAAGGGAAAGGCTGGCATTTATAACGTCTGTAATTTCATTGCCAACAATGTTCTCAGTGTGTTTGGTATTTGTGTGTCCCTGTGATGGTCTGAGTCAGTGCTCCTCCAGAAGGAGGGGGCGACCCAGCCAGCTTCTCTAATGGGAAGAGGTCTTCACTGCCAGGCACTTAGGAAAGACCTGGAGATGGAGCAGGGGAGGGCCTACTCTCTCCTGGCCTGGCAGCTGGGCTGTCTGAGTAGCTGACCTGGACTGAGGCTCCAGAGCCATCTGAGGACACCTTCTCCTGCTGAATTCAGCCCTGTGAAGCGTGGAGAAGAGTGTACGAGGGGCGTGGACTCTAAAGACCCATTCAAGCCAGATGCAGAGGCTCACACCTGTAGTCCCAGCTATTCAGGAGGCTGAGTTGGGAGAGTCCTTTGAACCCAGGAGTTAAAGACCAGCCTGGGCAACATAGCGACACCCTATCTCTACAAA